ACTATAAAAACATATGAGTAGGTCACAACCCATATATTAAATTTACTATAGATCAGTACCATTTCGATACCAGTTTGATATCAGTTTGGTACTTTTTCGGGGCCCTAATAATATTAGAAAACTGTAAAGAAACTGTAATAATAACAAAACTGTTTCTTATATTAATAATTTTCTAATTAGAAATATGTGATAGACATTGTCAAAAAAAGAAAAATCCAATTGACTTATCTAATTTAGTACTTATCACAAAGAGAGTATCTATATCACAAGAGAAAAAGTGGAGAAACCTGCTTTAGAAAAGTAAACAATAGAAAGAAAAGAAAAAAATATTAGTAAAGGACTTGGCTAAATAAAATTATATATCTCAAGTAGATAAGTCAAAAGCTTATCTGATATTATATAAGAGAATACTTTTGAAAGGTAACAGATTTGTTGAATGAGATATTAACAATATACTTATTTATAATAATATAATATTTAATTAATAAAATTTATTTTTCTTGTATAAAAGCTGCTATAATATTACAGTATTTTCAGAACTATAGTCAAAATAGAAGAAAGTTATTTAATCAAATAAAAGTAAGATTAAGTAACTTCAAAAATAAAGAGAAAACTTTACTTATTTTTTATATTAACATGATATAAATATTAATTTTGGATTATTAGCAAATTTGCCATTGGAGTCAATAATATTTTTTAGAATTAATCTATTGTTTAACTAAGTTTTCAAGTTTAATTTATTAATTTTATTGATATTTTTTATCTAAATATAATTCTAAATTTTATTAAAACAATTTTTTTCTTCTTTCTTGTTATATATTATGGAAATCACCATGTTACTTAATATTTTTGAATTGTTGTTTTATTGCTAAAATAATAAGACTCTAAAAATGTTCCTATTAGTTTTAAAAAAATTATAAAAAATAAGTTGATTTTTTCTTAGCATTATCAAAAATGTACAAAACAAAATTTTATTTTAAGTCACTTAAGACAAAAAAGTTTTATAATACTTTTTAAACCTGAATCTTTAGATTAGTGTATTTTGAAACCTGATTTTAGAAAATGGTTTCAAAACTACTATATAAAATTCTGAGTTTTCTAGAAATTCTGGAACCTTTGCCTTAAGTAACATATAGTGTAATTTGTTTTGCACATAACAGTATATTTTATATTTTACTTATTTGTAAATTATATTATTAATAAATTGCTTAAATATGATCATGTATTACATATATTGTAACAAGTTTGTCATAATTTTCGATGGGTATTTTCAGGATCTTTTAGGGCATGTTCGATTTGTTTAAGTAATAGTAATTTACTGTCCTTTATTGACCATTTAGCTCTACTTCTTTATATCTTTTTTTATATATAAGTTGGGATGACTTTTAACTATCGGTATGGCGAAATTGATTACCTATGTTCTTTTTACAATTTCCTCCTATTACGTAATATTTTATCACAATTACTTCTATTAATCAATAACTTATTACAATCTCCCTTTTTTACCTAATTAATTACCACAAGCGTACAATTATAATTTTATATATCACAATTTCTTCTTTTTTAGATATTTTTCTATCACAATACTTAAAGTACCATTCGGTACTCTCGCAGTTATTTTTTACGGACCGGTGCTGTCGCGTTTTTACACTCGGACATTACAGTATTTAACTAGTCAAATTGCGTGTTCCTTTCTACTTTAGTGCAGCAAACATTTGAATTAATTGAAACTTTTTAAAAAACTTTGATGTTGTAAATTTTTTAGCCCGAACATATTATTGCTAATTTCATTTCAAATTTACAGTAATTGAAGTTTTATGTGACTGTATATGCATAGAATTAATGCTTGTATCTGAAAAATGATAGAATATAAAAACGGTAGTAAAAATGATGAGATAAAATGAAATATCGAATGGCACCTATTGTATAGACAAGAGAATAAATTAAAATGATTTAATAGCAAGCGTTTTTTCTTCCTAATCTGGCCATTGTAAGCGAATTGTGGAGTTAAATAATATCACTTTAAATTAGTACATAAAAAACAATATTTGTTATGTGATTCAAAAAGGAGCGCATTTCAAGTCAGAAAAAATACTAAATATGGACTTGCTATTATTATGTAAAATAATAAGATTATAATGCGTATTAGAATCATAGTTATGGGATTTTAAAAATTCCAGTTTCCTTTAAAATAATTATGTAATTCAAAAATTCCTGTCCGCCTCCGCCTTCAAAGCAATAAGCAAATTCAATTCTTACATTTGACGACAGGGACCTCATCACAAATGTTAATCGCATAAGAAGTTCAGGAGATGCCATATGATCCGGTTTCAATCCGGCGCAGACTATTATTGGCCAGATAGCTTATTTGCATAAAATTCTCTTATAAAGGAAATAATTGCAAAATTAATGGAAACAAAAAAGAAAAGAAGAAAAGAAGGGTAGATAAATAATTAAACCTAAATAATTTACTCCTTTGTTTAGACAACAGGATAATAAAATTTTTTATTAATAATGTGACATTCATTACTCCTTTTTTAATCAATAAACGTAAATGAGGACATATTAAATACATAGATGTGGATAATTACTAAAGAGCATTAAAAATTTTTACAAACTAACATGGTCAAATAAAAATACCAAAAGTGCATATTAGTATTATTTCTCCAGCGCAATGGTGTAGGGACCGCGCTGCTTTGCTTTCGAACAAGTATAATTAAACTAAGCCAAATATACATAAATTTTGGAAAACAGTTGTTACATTTTTTCATTGCTTTGCAACTGTTTATCATTATCTAAAAATAACATGACAAAGTCATTTAAATATAAGCGAGGAGTACTCCACATTTATGTTTCAACAATATATCCATACATGGAATTATCAAAGGAGCGTTATTTCGACTAAAATTTACAAATTAGGCTTTATTTGGTTCCTATAATATGACATGTTACACTTTGTGATTCATTAATTAGTACTGTAAATAATCAAATGAACACGCAATATTCACATTGTGACATAAAGAACATTCCTCGAGAAAAAATTAAAACAAAGTGTTTAAGTGTAGAAACAATAAGCTTTAATTGTTACATTCTTTATGGAAGATTAATAAAAAAAATTATTTAAGCCAGGCGGGGAAGATATTTCTCACATAAATAAAATATATTTTTGTTGGTATGCCTTTCATGTCTCTTCGACATTCTGAATAATCTTGCTAAGTACGTACATTACCGTTACGATTTGACTTCAAATATTATATTTGCATTGAGAAGGAAAAAAAAAGTAATCAGCAGAAGTTTTTATTTTTTTGTTCAAATACACCTATAGAACTCTTCATCTTTGAGATCTTTTAGGATATTATTTGATATCAATTCTTGTTATGCTTGCTGGAAAACATTACAACTCTCAATGGCGGCAAGAGCGCCTCCTATGTCTGTTCCTATTACTAACAGTGGAGAAACGTCTATTGCACCTTGGACAGGGATAGGCTAGAAAAAGACGGGTTGTTTATTAGACCCTCTTTCGACAGTGGATAAAAGAAACAGTTTTAAATTAATAGACAAAATAAAAACCTACGCCTTTCCCCAGTGTGGTGCCTTGTGTGGATATTCAAATTACTTGGATGAGAAAGTAATAATTGGCAAAAGGAGCAACTGTGTCTATAGAGCGTTCTCAAGTTTTCGCGGGTAATATAGCCGACGAGGGTAAGTTCGTTATTATCGTCATCGCGATAGATTCCATTGGCGTATGGACAAACATACGGCAAAGTCGAGCTTTCAACAAAACCAGATTGATTCAAACTTCTTCCAGAGGCATAGCCCATAAAGTTACCTAAGAACCATCCACTTTCATCTCGGCTATCCAAACGAACAATCATGTACCGGCAATTATCTAGGCGTGCCTCGAAACCTCTTACAGTATATAAGGCATATTCACTTCTGCGTTCAAAACGAATATATATATTGATCATTATGAGACCAGCAATGAGATTAATTTATGGCGCAAAGTAATTCAGTGAAGTTCCTAGTGCGTACTGAGCTCGAACACTTAAATTATTTAAACGACAAAAATATTTGATTTTTCACAAATATTGTCCCGTAAAGAACTAGGAGAGGCAGCAAATTTATAGATTTAATCTTTATAATATTGGAAACATTTGAAAATACAGGTTTATTGTCTTATTATTTTAGTTATATTTAATGATTTAGTTATGAGTTTTTATCGTATGACTAAAATCTTTAACCACGTGTCATAAAATACGCACATTATATTTAACACCATGGTATATTGCAAATGGAATTAAGAGATTTGTGACAGCAACACTTCTTCCTAAGGTATTTGATTCCAAGATCAATTTCAATACTTTCCTGTAATAACCAGTCCCTGAATGTAGTGCAGAAAAGAATTGATTATATGATATGTACACTTCTCACAAGATTTATTTTGTACGTGCGTGCACGAATATTGGACTGTCAGAGCCTAAAATTGTGTTTTACAAATAACAGTTTATCGGTAGTATTTAGTGTCTGTTATATTTACAATGGTTTAAAGGTTCTTTAATCGATCTTATCACATTATAAATTCTCGCTCGGAATCTTGTGAAACATACCAAAAAGAGATAACTGTTGTGACAAAAGGCTGTCATATATCTAAGTGTATTCATATGGTTATCAACATTAGTCTGGTAGGAATGTGGTTTCTTGTAATAAGTAAGGGTATAATTGATTAATACCCTCCTTTTCTTTGCTAACAATAATTATTTCAAAGTGCTTAAAACACTATATGGTGAATAAATAACCCAACAGTGCTTGAAATAATATTGCACCACATGAAGTTGTGTCTACGGAACATTTGAAAAGCAAATGAAATCAATATTACGCGATGTAAGACAGTATGGCACGAAGTTACCGCGAATATGACATCAAAATAACACAAAGATTTGTTGCAAATATGCCCATACGTGATGATAATGAAATGAGATGTTTTGGTATAATTCCCATATAAAAAGTATTATTTATATCGTTAAAATTAATAAACGTATAGAGAATATTAACTGCGTGATAGTAAAATTGTTTGCCGTAAATGAATAACCCATTTGTTTATCTAATTAAATTTAAAGTTTTATGTATACTATGTTGCCTTTCTTTAAACGCCTCTTTGCTGTGTGTAGTATTTCAAATGATTATATTTTAAATACCAGTTTATACCATATATGATTTTATTGTTTTAGGCGAAATCAGTGCTTACACCTTTTATATTATTTATTACATACAGTACTGCTTATCAAAAAAAATATGTAAATCATCAGATTGGAGGATCGTGATCAAAGTGACACAATCGTCATGCATGAAACCGGATTAGAACCTTATGATTACAGTACAGTATGCATGTATTGTTGTATAAACGAGATGGTATATGTAGACTATAGAGGGATTTGAGGATTTGAGGATTTGAGGAATTGAGGAATTTGGATATGAGTGACACAATAATTGATTTTATATTTAGTGACACAACATTCCTATTATTGATTTTAGGATTTTACAATTACAATTAAATTGAACGTGTAGACATTTCATCAATCCCCAAGATCCAAGCATCATTATACAGGTCAGCTAACGTTAATGGTTAGTTTTGTTTGATTTTCCAAATTCGCATATATATATAGTACGTTTATACGTCCTTTAAGAACACCATCTTCAGACTCAAACAAGTAAAACATAATCTATCGCCCTTTTTGCTTAAAGACAAATATATTTATAAAGGTAATCAAGAATTCAACAAACTATTAATAGTTGACTACCGAAAATACAATTAAACCTGTTAAAATTGATAGGACAATTAATATGGCCCGAAAAGCGCGTGCGGTATACCCAGAAACTATCTTCAACACGAAGGAAGACGCACATCAGAAAGATCACGAAAAAGCAATCTCGTGTGACATAATTAAATATGCATGTCAATGCTGTAAAAAGTTATTTAGATACGAATACAAACTGAAAATTCACGAAAAAATGCATCTTCAGGAAAAATATGAAAGAATACACAATAAAAACCCATGTAAGTATTAGTTAGTCGTACACTTATTATTATATAACAAAGTTTAATGAAAAATATTGTTTCATCTCCAGCATATATATGTTATTTTGATGGATGTAGGGAGCATTTTATCAAAACCAACAATCTCCTTCATCAAGAAATGCAGAAAAATGTATATTATAAACAATGCCATTAAAAAAAAAATCCAGAAAATAGATGTGCTATTTATTTTAAATATTTCTAACAGATAACGTACATATCGAATCATTTTATTAATTGATCATGTAGTTAAATATTGCAATTAACCCAGTGATATAGCTAGGTGGTGCAAACAGGCCAGATATTTTTGTCCAAATTTTTTCTTTTTTTAAACTATTATGTGTTTGATTAATCGCAAAAGCATGGTCGCGCATAATCTAGGCGACGGTTGATATTCGAATATGGATGAAAGTTTATGTTTACTGTATTGTATATGTATTATATGTAATATGCCGAGCAAAAAATATCAAATTTGTTAATACATACGTGTATTTTATGAAATTATGTTATTCATTAAATATTTTAGATATTAAAATTATTTGCAACAATAATTATGAACAAAGCAATATCGATCCTTTGTTTTTTCTAGAAGATTACTCTCTTCATAAACTTTCTTATTGTTGGGGTGACAATGAAAGTCTTTCACTATTGGTTGATTACAATCATGTAATGTCAAAAAAGGTGTTATATTCGGGCACATAATAAGTGAGACTAAACTATTACTATTTCAAAATCACCAAATCCTTCAAAGCCTCAATAATAATATTGTATACAGTATTTGGATGGTAATATTGTTTTTTTCATATGATTGTTATTTTTTTTTGTGTGTATGTGACCTTTTAAAATATGAATATATTTTTTGACGATTTTTATTATAACTAGATAACGGAAACCGTTGAAATGTCTGAAGCTATAAGTTAATAGTATTTCAATTATAATCAAATCGATATTGTTTCTAATTTAAGGTATCATTGAATTAAACATTTCTCTTCAATCAATCTTTCTTTTAGTCTCTTGCAAGTCTTGATACGCTGGAGTCTTTCAAATGAAAATGGTTTGAAAAGAGCATTTTGAAGAGTACAAACTCATGAAATAGCTATAAAAGAAAGTCCAGCAGCATATTCCTTTTCACCAATGTCTATTACAGCCTTTTGTAATGTTAATCCTTGACTTTTATGAACCGTAATAGCTCATGCAAGGCAAATGGAATTTGCAATAGTTAGCAGGTTCCTTTCTTTCCTTTCCATGTATTTCTAATTGGAGAAGTTGGAACAAGTCTTTTATTTTGTGTGTTTATAATAGCAGGACCAGAATAATGATTGAATTCTATCAAGACAGCAATAGGAAGAAAAGGAGATGATTGATTCTGTTCAAATATTATTTCTCAGATAGTACCCATTGAACAATTGATCAAAACAAACTCTATTCATAAGTTTGTCTTAAGCATAATTTTCACATCTCTTGTCTATAATAATAAAGATTCAAGTCCTTTTGCAATATCTGAGTCAGCCTTATATGCTTCACTATTGCCTGTATATATGGCATTTATCCTAGCAATAGAACAATTTAATGACTTGAGTTTATTAATATAGAATTCAAAATATCAGATTTTCTAGGTAGAATACATGTCACATTTGAAAAATCAGCCATCGATGTATTTGATATATTAGCAAATCATTTGGTAAGTACTTTCCAATTATCAATTATGGATTTGTCATCATTTAATCATATTAATATAGCTTTGAAGCTATACTAGTTATCAGAATCTTCTGATTGACATTGAATAATATCAAGCTTATAAACCTTTTTGAAATTGTTTATATGCTGTAATATTATTATTTAATAATGAATTATGTTAATGAATCTGTAAATACATAGATTTATCTAATACTGGAAAAAGCTATTCAAAATTATCAATCAAAATAATAAATTAACTACCAAAATTAAACTCTGCTGTTTAAAAAAGCTTCTTATAGTCTCATATCAATTAATGCAAACATATAATAACCTACCATGCTTTTTTCATCTATAATAAAATATTCCATATCTTTTGATTTTTTTGTCATTTTTTTAGTCTTTTGTTATTTAAATCAAGACTATTGTTAGATATTGGATAAAAAAAGCTGAATAAATTATGATGCTATAAATATTATATGCTGTAACTTACATTAGTGCAAGTACAATAACAGTAATTATGTATTAATATTTTGATTTGTTGTAATTTTCCAAAGAAAATTTTTAATTATATTAATTAAATATAATTTTTCTGTTTCTGTAGTTCCCATTACAATAAGCTTGAGAGGTTTAACTTGATCAGGATCTGTCCTTAAGATAATATAATGTAATTCAATTTACTAAAATATTTCTATTTAATTATATTTAATGTTTATCAATTTATATAATCCATGGTATGATTAGAAAAGTTTTTATTATCAACAATATCTAATTTTCAAGCTTGCTATATAAAATTAAATGCATTTACAAGATCGATATTAGAATTACATTGTCTAATATTATTGATCTAGTTAAAATATTAATCAATATAAGCAAATCCAAGTTTGAAGAACTTTTTATAATTGTATTTGGTTTTATTTCATATAGTATTATCCAATTGAGTCTTGCCTGTTCTTCATGTTCTAATTCATTATACTTACTATTAGTTTTTTTTTTTTATCACAAACAGGCATTAAATATAAGACATTTATTAAACATTTGTTTATCATTATTACATTAAAATAACAACAAAATCGATATAATAAAAAAATTATAAAGCTTAATTTTAATTGCAACCATATATTTCTTGAGAACAACTTTATATTATTATTTCAAAAAAAATCAAACTGTCATTTTTTAAAAAAAAAATTAAAATATCTTTACTTTACTAAACATTTTTGT